TAAATGGGAATATTCTAAACAGCCCATTGTGTTTTTAAAAGTCAACTCCTTCCAGAATGGAAAAATACCGGTCTGAAACATTTGTGCAAATACCGTTCCTGCATCCTTTTATTTGCCAGGAAAGAGTTGTCCTGAGCAGGGTCAGAGCTGACCCATCGATGTACCGAGATGAGAAAAGGCCAGCAAAGGCAAATGACTAAGAATAAGATCACAATTCTCCATTGTCTTCTATTTCTCGCTGGCTGGAGTTCAGTATTTAAAGACAGTTTAGACGCCGACTCTCACCCCAATGCATCTAGATGATCACTCCTCCACATCTTCAGGAACGCACCTTAATAGTATCAGATAAGGTCAATAAGCTGTGACAGCAGACCTAAGCAGATGTGGCAGTGCTGGCACGACCTATGAATACATTAATCTGTGAGCCTGCCAATCAGCCTTTATAGAGCGTTAGGTCAGCCAGATATGATAATGAAGAAGAGTAGGGGGTAATAAACTGTAGTAAGTACTCATGGGGAAAGACAGTGACAGAGACTTTAAAGCATGCATGAAAACACCATTATAATCTTCCACATAGAAAGGCACTTCAGAGAAGACATGACAGATTTAAAGGGAACATATCAAGAGAACTTCTACCATTGCTGACTTGTTTTTAAATGCAATTCCTCTGGGGCCGTCACCTGGTCCTTACTTCACTCATTTGTGTGTTTATGGTCTGGGACAAATATGCACCCATTGAAGTATCAGGACAGTGACTTGATGAGCAGTGGGAGAAGGATTACAGCTTTAAAACAAGTCACGGCAGCTTCCTTCATTCTATCTGAGAGGTTCCCCTAAGAACAACATTCACACCCGTGCATCATAAAAACAAACTCTTCTTGCTGCAACTTTGGTGTCATTCCCATTAAAATGCAACTTCTGAATAATGAATTATAACTGGGAATGCACAGATATCATTTTTTCCAGACAGAGTAGAAGTACTGATACTTTCCGCAAGTACTCGCTGATACCAATTACTGATACCTTTTTTTTAGTGTCATGTGAGTTTTTCTAAAACAATACACACAAATGCTTTTAGGACAGTGGTGGAGCGCCAGGGCCCAGACGCAGCTGCAACTGTTGCGACCCAGGTAGTTCTGCCACTGACTCCAAGCTGTAGAGGGACTACAACTCCCAACAACACATTATACAACAATGCAGAATAATATCAGCTATAGAGGACTACAAATCCCAGCAATACCTTATACAGCAAGGCAGAATACCACCAGCTATGGAGGACTACAAATCCCAGCAATACATTATACAGCAATGCAGAATACCACCAGCTATAGAGGACTACAAATTACAGCAATGCAGAATACCACCAACTATAGAGGACTACAAATCCCAGCAATACATTATACAGCAAGGCAAAATACAATCGGCTATAGAGGACTACAAATCCCAGCAATACATTATACAGCAAGGCAAAATACAATCGGCTATAGAGGACTACAAATCCCAGCAATACATTATACAACAATGCAGAATACCACCAGCTAGAGAGGACTACAAATTCCAGCAATACATTATATAGCAATGCAGAATAATATGAAGCTACATACTGTGTTGCTCACCAGGGCTATGCAGCATCTCAGGAGGCTGTACAGGGTTTCACCATGGCTGTGCAGATGGCAGGAAGGAGGAAAAGGAGATGTCACCAGTAAGTGTGGGACCTTACGGCAGCCGCTTCCATTAAAAAAATGTAAAGCACTGGTATCAGCAATTAGTATCTGGGCATTTACAGGAGTACTCATGAAAATGCAGAGTATTGGCACAGATACCGGTATTGGTGCATCCCTAATTATAACTCATGTAAATGCTTCAAGGACACGAGTCTTGTAGATGTCTAAACGTAGCCTTAAACTTGCAGCTCCAGGACCTGAAGATTATGAAGTCGACATTGTAAAAAAAATAAGTCACTCAGCCAAGAGCATGTGGACATGCAAGATTTTGTCAGTGTCCAGAATAATAATCTACAGTGACCACAGTACTCAAGGAGAAATGTCCTCCCTTGTGAAAAAAACAGAAAAACCTCAGAGCGACATAGTTAAAGCAGAAAACAATGCCATGTGGCAGAAGATCCTGGATCCATGTATTTCCTGTGGGAAAGGGGAACCTGGGAGCATGGCAATCTAAAGGGTCTTTTTTGCCTGCCCATGTTATGCAGCAATGTCCTTCAGCAGTCATTAGACAGAACATTTCAATTGGCTGAACATTTGTGGTTCCCAGGCAGAGAAAGGAAAATTGTTAAAATAATATTTTTGTGCTCACTGTAAAATCCTTTTCTTGCAGTCCATTGAGGGACACGTGAAGTCTTTAATAGGGAAGCACTGATACCGATACTAGCAGAACACCATTTAATGAGGCTATGGCGTATTACAGTGATTTGGCCATAGCATCATATATAATAAGTGACTTCTGCCTCATTTAGTCTGCAATACATTAATGTCGCTTAATGAAAGATTACGCAATAAATCTCAGTCCCAATATAGGGAGACGTTCGTATAGACTTTTGCTTTGGCACCAGAATTAAAAATTGTATTGATTCTACCAGGTGCCACCGACCCTCAAAGCGTGCACTGAAGATGGAGGACATCAGCACTTGCCCACAGAGGCGTGGAGGCTGATTTACTAAGTAGTTGAAACATTTTACACAAATTGTGTGATTATTCACTTTATCCAATCATGTAAAAGCAAATTCCTGTTCACTTATTTCATCTCCATAAGGTATTCAAAGTGAACAGGAATTTGCGTTTCACATAATGGGATAACTGAAGTAAATATTCACACAATGTATTGTGGGACAATTCTCAACTATTTAAACCAGCGTTTCTCAACTTTTTTTTAGTCAGTGACCCTTTAAAAGTGCAAAATCTCGAAGCACCGCCGTCCGAAGCATCATAAGAGTTTAACGGGGAGCATATGCAAAACAGGCAAAAAGTGGGTTTCCCCTTTACATTGAAGTGCACCGTTCAAATCAAGATTCCCCCTTTCACATCAGAGTCACCCTTTGCATCAGCAGCCCCCTTTCACATCAGGACCTTCACCTCAGTCTACATTCACATAACAGTCCTACTACCACACAATTATGAGGCACCCATGAAGAAGCCAAAATGCACACCAAGGTGCAACATTGAGAAAGGCTGATTGAAGCAAGTCAGTCCACCTTG